TCACTAAAACTAATCAACTTCATTTACTATTCCAAACCCTTTTTCCTAAGTCCAATTCCCAATCACTGAGATAATCTGAGCTCTCACTACCACCTCATCTTTCACTTACCTACAATTTTCTCCAGTTTCCATAATAGATGATACTACCCAATCGTCTTTCAACTCAACACTCACATGTCATTTTGAGTTGGAACATGCAACTATGAAATAAGACACCTCTCCCCCCCAAAAAAAGACTTAAAAAAAAATTATCTTTTTCATACTTACAGTCATAGCCCTAACCCATCAAAGAACCTTCCCATAATCAAGTATTGTTTCAATAATGCTAGTAATTTGGGGGCACCCAGGTGGCTTAGTTGGTTAAGCGTCTGACTCTTGGTTTTGACTCAGGTCTGATCTCAGGGTTGTGGGACTGAGCCCTGCATCAGGCTCCACATTCAGTGGGGAGTCTGCTTGAGATTTTTCTCTCCCTCTCCTTTTCCCTCCCCCTCTGCCCCTCCCTGTGTGCGCTCTCTCTAAAACAAATTTTTAAAAAAGCGCTAGTCATTTTTTCTTTTATCCTTATGACCCCTTCAAATATTTTCAATGGATCCTCATTAATTTCTATAGCAAGCCTGAGCTATTTACTGTCATCTTCAAAATGCCATTAGATATCTCTAAGATAATGCAACTTATCTTGCCACCCTGTTCACACTTCCAGCTGCTCCTATTCCCCACCATAAACCAACTCTTCTGTGACTGTTTGTTGAAACATCCTTACAGCTGATGCCATGTCTTCTCATATGTTATTACCATAAAATCTTCTATCAAAAGTTGTTTAGTCCTTTTCTCTCTAGTCAGCTTCTACTATTCTTTCATTTTTTTCCCCCTGCAATACCATCATTCACCTAGTCACCAGCTTCAAAACCTTGAAGCCATCCTGCAGCCTCTTCTGTTATTTAGCATGATACATGGCACATTTCGGATACTTAATTGCATAAAATGTGTGTTGAGTCACATTCATACATGTGTTTCAATGTGATTTACTTTATTTTTTTTAAGGATTTTGATATAGTGAGAGAGGGAACACAAGCAGGGGGAGTGGGAGAGGGAGAAGCAGGCTTCCTGCCGAGCAGGGTGCCCGATGCGGGGCTCAATCCTAGGGACCCTGGGATCATGCCCTGAGCCGAAGGCAGACGCTTAACGACTGAGCCACCCAGGCACCCCCAATGTGATTTACTTTAGAGTGCAAATTCCCAGAAGGTAAGGACCACATCTCCTTCCATTTTGTTCTGCCTGCAGCATATTGCCATGTTTGGTCGCCAGCCTCCAAGATGGTCCCCAAAGATTTTCACCTTCCTGGTATTCATGTCCCTGTGTCATCTCCTCCCACAATGAATTGGACATGGCATAAATAACAGAATGTGACTTCTAAGGCTGGTTCATAAAACATATTGTGGCTTCTACCTTGTTCTCACGGATCACTTGATCTGGAAGAAGCCAGCTGCCATGTCAGGAGGGCAGTGGAACAGTACTGTAGGGAGGCAAGGAATTGAGGCCTCCTGCTAAAAGCTGGCACAAACCTGCCAAGCATGTGAGGAAGCTGTCTTCTATTTAGATTTTCAGGTCACTGCAACCCAGCCAACATATTGACTGCAACGTCAAGAGAGACATCGAGCCAGAACTGCCTGGCTAAGCTGATCCCAAATTCCTGATTCACGGAAACTGTGTAAAATATTTTTGTTGTTGTTTTTTCAAACCATTAAGTTTAGAGGTAAATTTCTATGCAGCGATACATAACCAATACAGCCTTGTTGGCTAACTAATTTATGTGATTAAACAAAATACCCAAATCTTCCAAAAGGCCTATTAGATTATTAAAGACTATGGGAAAGGAAATTCTACAACTTTCTTCTTTAAAAAAGAATATCTGGGGCGCCTGGGTGGCTCAGTCGGTTGAGCGACTGCCTTTGGCTCAGGTCATGATCCCGGAGTCCCGGGATTGAGTCCCGCATCGGGCTCCCTGCTCGGCGGGGAGTCTGCTTCTCCCTCTGACCCTCCCCCCTCTCATGTGCTCTCTCTCTCTCTCATTCTCTCTGTCAAA